TAAAATAAAAAAAAATTAAAATATAAATATATTTTTTTTACACGTCATATTCAATAAATGTCTTTAAAATGATTTTCTTCTGTGTCTTGTTTGACAAATATTTAGAGACTTTTATTATCAAAAGTGCTGATCAAAATTTCTGCTGAATATGAATAGCTTTTTCAGGTTCCAGAGGGTACATTTTTATTTTTTGAAATATTAAAATATAATACTATTAACTATAAATACGTATATAAATAGAACTTGATAAAATTAAGATTTTTTTTGTTTTTTATTACTATTTTTTTATCAGTTCTATTTAAAGGAAAGAAACCAAAAAAATTTAATAAATGTAAAATGCAATGTAAATTTTAATTTTAAAAATTAAAAATAAAAGTTAGGGTGCTGCTGTCAAATATGGATACTGCTTTCTGTTCTATTCTTTCTTTTTTTCAGTAATATGTGCAAAGCACTACCCTCTACATAAGTACATTATATTTTTCTGCTGTTTTCAGCACAGGTATTTTCACTTGGTTGGTTCTTGCCTTTCCCTGAGGCATAATCAAATTTCAGCTGGAATGAAACGTGTTTGACTTTGCTAAAATAAGAGCTTGGCAGCGGTTCCCAGCTCTGAAAATGACAGCTTAGCTCCGCAGAGACTACATTAATAAAGCTCTAAACTTCTACACTAGAGACACTCAAATGCACTGCAAAAATAGCTAAACGCGAAAAAATTAAACGCAACTGACCATATTATTGTACACAGCCTGGAGAGCAAATCAAATGGGCCTATTGACGTTTTGAAAAATCTTTTGTTTCCAATGAAACTCTATAGTATTTTGAAAACCATCAAGAACATTATAAAAAAGGAAATCAGCAAAAATGCAAACCAACTTTAATTAAATACAGGTTCGCTTGGAATGAAGACAATCATGGTTTGCGCACACCACTGTGTGTTTTGGCTGCCGAGAACATGAAACCACTGAAATTCAAGACATTCAGAAACTGAAACTGTCATTTTTGTTTACTTTCTAACACAATGAATGATTGTATTATTCATATCCATCATCAAATCTGAATCCTGAAGCAAAACCAGAGTGGTACACAACGCTTAGTGTCCGCATGTGTCCTTTCATTCATTCCTGGCCAGTGACAGAGCCGCAGCTAAATCTGCTCACCTGGCCCGAAAGGAGTTCAGTTCTGCTGTGATTTACGTCACTGAGAGAATTAAGGACATTAAGCACAGTAAGACAGTAGACTGTACTACGTGAAACTGGACTGAGCTTCTGCAGGCAGGATAAAGTGACTGGACAGATCAAAGTCATTTAGCTCTCGTGGAAAGACGGGCAATAAATCCAATATCCTTCAATGGACCGAACAGGAAAGGAAAGATTATTTTTTTGATTAAAATACAGACTAGATACAGAAATAGTTCAGAATTTGTTGAAAAAAACAAAAAATGACCTTGACTATATATATATATATATATATATATATACATACATACATACATGTATATCCATCTATACTCCATATTTTAGACATACACTTCAACAAGGTCAAAACCATCATTCCATCATTATGACAAAAACCAAATGATGCAAGCACAAAAAGACTGTAACCACATGTTGGAGGTGAAACCTCTTCAGCAGATGATAATGAGGATTTACTGACATGCTGTTCATGCCCAATACCCTCTTCAGCAAATAAAGACCTTCACTATTGACTTCACGCTTTCTCTCCTCCTGCCTCAAAGCATGCGGCTCTTTCTGTACGAATAACTCCCCTCTTTCACACCGTTAGTCTGCTTATCTTTCTCTGTTACCTTGCACCAGCTCTCTGCACAGTCCCTCAGTGTCGGGTTCCCCTTCATCCTCTGGTTCTTCATCATCTTCATCATGGCTGGTGCTGCTGTCTCTTTCGCTCTCATCCATTCCCGAACTGCTCCACACCTCCATTTCTGAACTCATGCTCTGCTATGTGTGTCTGCCCTGCAATGCGGTCTGTCTCGAGTCTCTCTCTCTCTCCACAGACTGTGCCAGGCTGATTTATAACATGAGCCGTCTGTCTGCTGCCAGTCACTGCTGCTGTCCCCTAGGCTTCCTGCTCACTAATGGTCCTGTAAGCTCTCAGACTGCACATGCTGAAGCTGTTACAGAATCTTCTGAGAGTGTGTGTCACTGCAGCTCAAGCCTGATGGCAGCTCAGACTCACCTGGCTGCTCTGAGCCACAGGAGCAGATCAACTCTGAGAGGAGGAGAGGGGACGACGGCTGAGGGAAATTTAGGGGGATAGATGAAAGACCAGGGATTTGTGTGTGTTACTGTAGTCATTTGGGGTTTTAGATTAAGTTTACCTATGAGTCAGTTCTGCTGATTTGATTTGAAACAGCTTGGGTTATTGTGCAGATGGAACCCCCCCCATTCAAACACAATATGGTACCTTCCAGATTAATGTCATAATACTGTACTGCTGCAGCACAACAGACAGACACTTCCACAATCACAGCACCACATCAGTGTTGTTATTGTTAACTAGTGCTGTCAAATGATTAATCGCGATTAATCGCAATCCAAAATAAAAGTTTTTGTTTATATATGTGTGTGTACTGTGTATATTTATTATGTATATATAAATACAAACACATGCATGTATATATTTAAGAAAAATATGTTCTGTTTATATATTAAATATATTTATGTACAATATAAAATATAAGAATATAAATATATAAATGTATATACATGTAAATATTTAAAAAATATATATATACTCTATGTGTGTGTATTTATATATACATTATAAATATACACAGTACACATACATATATTATGTAAACAAAAACTTTTATTTTGGATGCGATTAATCGCGATTAATC